ATGGACACAGCTCCGGAGTGCAGCCGGGTGCTGGCCCACGGCAGAGCTGCAGACAATGCGGGGTTGCGGAGTTCCCTCTCTCCCGACTGGCCGCATGCTCTGCTTGACACAAAGAAGAGCCCTTCTCCTCCCCGACTCGGAGCACAGCTCCCACAAACAGAGCTTTTTGTGAGGAATGGGGGATTGAATTAATCCAGCAAGTGTGACGGAGCCCTGCGACCTGCTTTTCTCGCAGCCTTACCCCAAGCATCAATAAAACAGCGGGGCTGGCTTCCCTGGATCACCCCACCGATAAAGTAATTAAAGGAAAAGCTAACGTCCCTGCCAAGAAAATACTTGGTGGTTCCAGCTCCCGATGCGTGGTCAGCCTGTGAGGTGCCTGGGAGCAAGGCAGGGATGGGGTCAGAGGAGGAAAAGCCCATAAATCCTCCTGGTTTGGGTGTTCTGCTAGAACCCGTGGGCTGCATATAGCCTCAGTGCTAGGGCTGGTGGAAGAGCATACAGAAACCCCTCAGTGAACATGGAGCTCTGTGACCAGAGAGGCGGCTCATGCAGGAGGAGTACGTTCCTCCAAAAGTGGTCCCAGTCCACCCACATCCCAATGGAGGTGGGCAGAGCTCCCCCAATGGCTCCCAGCTCCCTCCGGCCAGGGCTTTAACCCATATAGGTGGTGATGGCCTCAATCATCCCGCAGCCCTGCCGAAAGAACTCAGCTCCAGACCCCGCATGGGAGAAAGGATCCGCTGTTGCCCCCGGACAGAGCATTCCTTCTGCAGCCGGCCTGGGGACTGCTGAACCGGAGAAGAAAAACACATTGTGACTTCAAACAAACCCAGCGCACTTACGGGATCTGGAGAGAAACCATTTTCTCCTCAGCAGCACAAAGCCCTCACTGAGCCACAGCCGAGCACCGCTCCCCCCACCCCCATGGGGCCTCGTAAAGAAACCCAATGCCATGCTGTGCCCCCGAGGATGGAGCAGATCCAGCCCTGTACCGCTGGGACCATGCCCTCCTGGCCAGGCAGCGGCCCGTCACCTCTTGGGGGGGGGAACGGCCAGGACCTGGGGGCTGCCATTGCCTGGAAGACATGAGTGCGGATTTATGGCCACGCCAGATTTATGGTCAGCACTAAAATATCCGACTGAACGTGCACGCTCCAGAGCTCTGTGTCCGTCAGGAAGCAGTGTTGTGAGCGGCCGGGAACGCCCCATTGCAGCCAAAGTGCTGGAGCTGGCTGACCCAGAGATGAGCAGCGAGGATGGGAACCGCAGCAACTTTCCCTATAGCTCAGACAACAGCAAAAAGGAGGGGGAAAATACAGGGGGGGGGGAAGTCCCAAGGAGCTCAAGGCCAGCCCCAAAAATGCTGTGCAGTACCAGCCAGGCCCCAAAGCAGTCCACCTGGGACAGGCCGTGACCTCCTGGGGCAGTGTGTTTGCTCCCTGACCCTTCTGCACACTTGGGAAGCAGAGAAGACTCATGAGCCCATTGGCATGAGTTGGTTGGTCGCCCTCCATCCTGCTCTTCTCCCCTGGGCAGCAGGACAGAGCCTGAGCCCCAGTGGGTCAGACGGCACTGGGAGATGCTCGCATCATGCCGCTGCTTCCTTCCCAATTCCCAAACCGTCAATACGAAATGGGGTCCGAGGGGCTGGGGGCATGGAGATGCCCATTTGCCTGCAGCCCCCGTGCCAGGCAAGCTGGGCACAGACTCGTTTCTCCTCGCCCCGACTTCTGCTTCCCAGCCTGAGCAGGCCACGAATCCCAGCTCGCCTTCCCACAGCCTACAAAGGAGGATGTTTTTTTTTTTTTTCCTTTTTCCCCACCCTTTTGCCAAAATAAAGAAGAAGAAGAAAAAAAATCCACTGGGTAGAGAGAGAGGGAGGGGGAGAGGCAACACCGCGAACAGCCGCCCCCAAAACTTTGTCGAAAGCACAAACGTGGGGGAAATGCTCCCTTCAGAATCGCGCTGCGAAGGGCTCCGGCTCCAGCAGCCCCAACACCGCGCCGGGGGCAGCGGAGCCTCCGAACGAGCAGAAACGCGTCCGAACAAACAAAAGCGGCGGCCCCTCCGGCCGGGCAGCGATCGCCGCGCACTCCCGGGGCGCTGAGGAACGCTCCCTCCCGGGGGTTTCCCTCTGCCTCCACTCCTCCGGGAGCGGGGCCGTTTATCGGACGCCGCGCACACTTCGTGCCGAGACAAAACCCAGCCGGGCCCCCTCTTCCTACGCCCCGGAGCGGGGCCGCAAAGCCGCGAGGAGCGGGATACGAGCCCCCAAAAAGAAGAAAACCGAATCGAGCAGGCACGAGGGGGGATCCCTCCTCCTTCCGCGAGGCTGCGGCACGCATGGCCCCACGCCGGGACCGGGGGGGTTAAACCACCGGGGAAGGGATGGAGCCGGACACCGCGCACGGACACTCCTCCGGCGGCCCCGCAGCGCCGGCTCCCCCTGAGAGCGATACGAATGCCGCAGCTCTCCCGAACTCGGAGCACGCAGCACCCGTGGGCGTGTGTGCGCCCGTACCCGGGCTCCGGTGCGGCGGCACGCCCGGCCGGTACTCACCCTCGAGGGCGCGGCGGCCGCCGGGCAGCAGCAGGAGCAGCAGGAGGGGGAGCAGCGGCGGCGGCGGCGGGGCGGCCCCCGGGCGGGCCGCGGCCATGGCGGGGGGCGGTGCGGGCGGCCCCGCCGGGCAGTCCCGAGCTCGGCGCCACGCGCGGCTCCTCTCGCCGCCGCGCCACGCTCGCGCTCTGGCGCCGCCGCCGCCGCCGCCGCCGCTCAGCCGCGCGGGGCGGGGCCCGGCAGCCAATCAGCTCCTCCCCCTGGCAACCCGGCGCCCCTGGCGACGGAGAGCGCGGCGCTCATTGGACGGCAATATGGAAAGGGGCGGGACCTCGGCGGAAAGATGAATTGGAAGGGGCGGGCGCTGTGAGCCGCGTCCCACCCAGGGTCCCGCCCCTCAGAGCGGGAGGTGCAGGGCGGGGAGCGCGCCCCACCCAGCGGTCACCCGCGGAATTGGGCTCTTAAAGGGGAAGCGGCCCCGGACAGCCGTGAGGGAGCGCGGCAACGGGCCCTGCCCCCACCCCAGTGGGGGTCGGTGTACAAGGGTGGGCATGCAAGTCCCGCTGTGCGTCACACAGGATGGCCAGTGTCTTCCATCCCATCTTCTACAGTCCCATCTTGTCTCATTCCATTCCATTCTCTACAGTCCCATCCCATTTCCTTATTCCATTCAATACCACCCAGTCCTATACCATCCCATCCTCTACATTCCAATTGCATCCCATTCCATTCCATCCAATCCAATCTCATTCCATTCAATTCCTTTCTATCCCGTTCTTTACGGTCCCATCCCATCTTCTGCACTCCCATTCCATTCCATCCCATTCCATCCCACAGTCCTGTCTCACTCCATCCCACTCCATTCCATCCTGTTCCATTCCTTCCATTACATTCCATCTTATCCATTACAGTTCCATCCCATCCTCTGTACTACCATTCCATTCCATTCAATTCCATTCCACTTCCTACAGCCTTGTCCCATTCCATTCCATTCCATTCCATTCCATTCCATTCCATTCCATTCCATTCCATCCCACCCCCAACAGTCCTGTCCCATCCCATTGCATTCCACCTGCTCCATCTTGCCTCATGTACTTCCATCCCATTCCACTATGCATCCCATCACTCCCCATCCCACCCTCTGATCCACTTCAATCCTTTCCGTCCCCACTCTGTCCCATCCTCATCACACTATGATTCCCATCCCAGTGTCAGGTCTGAGCCTGGGATCCCAACCTGAGTTGCACACACACACAGAGCCCTACAGGAATCCCCAAATTCCCACTCCCACCTTCCATGTGGGTGATGATGCCAGCTCCCCTGCATGCAGTCCTGGCCCCCAGCCTGTGGGTACCAGAATCCCCTTGCTTTCCCCATGGCTGGAGCTGGCACACCCCTGCAGTGATGGATATAGGACATGCAAAATCCCCTAAATCCCTGATGTGGGAGCATTTTGATGCTCCCAGTCCCCAGGATGGTATGGAGCTACTGGATGCAGGGTGTCAGCTGGATGTATCCCCTCCAAGCTGCCTTGTCCCTGTGGCACAGCCATCTGGGCTGCTTGGCACCATCTGCAAGCAGCACCACCCCACTCTCTGCCCCAGAAACCTGCCCAGAAACACCTGCAACCCCATCCTCACGCCACTGAAACTCAAACACGGAGCTGATATTGGCCTCCCTGCAAAGCTGCTCCTGGGAAATGCTTGCATCCGCACCATCCCATTCAGAAACCTCTCTTGTTCTGGGACACAGAGGTCTGAGTTATCCAAGCACAGGACGTCTGAGAGGAAAACAAATTGCTTATTCACATCTGAGTAACTTAAAAATGGCTGAATCCATTTGACTTCAACTTTCCTCAAGAATTCCCCTTGGAGCCAAGCCATGCCTGGTACATTTCAGCCCATGAGGGCTTTTCATCTTTGGAAAAAGATGAAAAACTGGAACAGGGATTTGGGGGCATGGGCTGAGGGAGGATGCTCATTGAACCCCCTGCATGGGGTGGCTGGCAGTGCCCTATAAGGAAGCTGTCTCCTGGTGCTCTTCATCCCCATTCCCAAACCCTCTCCCATCCCACCCACATCCACCACCCCGCACCTCTGGCAAGCTGCAGGATGCAGTTAAACACTTCAGCACTTAAAATTTCAGGTGCTAATTGCTTAGTAATGAAAACTTTAATCACAGGGCAATTAAAACCTTAAGTAGCTGTGGGAGATCCATTCCATGTCAACAAAGAGGAGTGCACTCACTCCCCAACACCCAGCTCTGTGCCCCCACCCCATATCCAGCACCCCAAGATGCCACCACCCCATACCAAGCAGGGGATGGATGAGGAACTTCCCCCCCCCGCCACAAAATCTTAATATCCAGCTAATTTCAGAGCAAGTGCTGTATATGAAAGGGTTTTGTTATTTTAAATCTCCTCCTTTCCAAATTCCCAGGATTAAAATTCTCCGCATTTATTTTAACCGCATAACATTTGCAGACAAATCACTTCTCTCCCAGCGCAAAGTTTGAAGCAGGCTCAGGATATAAAGCCCGGCCGCAATCTGCGGGGTGGAATTGCTCTCTGTTTGCTGGCACCTGCTCACAGCCACATTTTCTGCATGGGGAAAAGGCCAATCCATGCTGTGCTAGTGCCCCAGGGTGGGAACCTCGAGGGGAGGAGGTTAAGCTAAGGTGTTGCCCCCACAGCCCCTTGAGACCCCAATCCTGCTCCCACCCCACCTGGAGCATCCCTCACCCAAAGCCGGCTCAGGATGCTGTGCCTCCCGTCTCCATGGCAACCCCCATCCTTGCCGGGTTGCCATGGCTCCCCGGCCCCCAGCCGCAGCGCATCCTCAGCACAGGGAGGACCCGACGTTTGGGGTCCCCAAGGGGATACCACCACCGAGGGATGAGCGGCGTGGCTGGGAGCTGAGGGGTGAGCTGGGGACAGGCTGAGGGCATGCTGGTGTATTGCTGACACCTCGGGAGGAAGGAGCTTTGTGACCACGTGAGTGCCTGGAGGGCTGGTGGGGTTGGGGTCCCCCAGGAGCATCAGGGTGGCAGCATCACACTTTGGTCACCCTCACACTTTTCCAACTTCTCTCCTTCCTCCAAGGGCTTCTCTACTCAGTGCAGAGTCCCCATCAGCAAGTGACAAGGCCCTCGGGTGTAGGTGCACGCTGGCAATATGCACAGAGCATGGACGGCCACTGCCTTGTGTGCTGCTGTCCCCAGCCCAACATCCTTCTGAAATACTGTCCACCCCACAAAGTCACAGTGTGGGGAAATCTCGGTGCGGCACTGCACCGGGGTTAGGGCTGCATTTGTCATCAGCGCGAGGACCCAGAGGGCTGCAGGCGAGTGGCACTAAATAAACACAGCAACCGTGAGAAAAAGGCAGCCAGGAATAAATAGTTGAACCAAATAATAAGGCAAAGGAATAAACAAAGCCGAGACGTGCCCGGGCACGGCAAGAGCCTCCGACTTCGCACTTCCAAGCTGGGCTCTGGCCCAGCCCCGGCGCCCCGCGGGCGATGGAGGCTGTCCCGCTGGCAGCACATGGATGGGCACACCCCTGGCTGCAGGGATCCCCCTCCCACCGCATCCCTATAGAGATTCCTATAGATCCCCTGCTGTCCGGGATCAGGGCAGCTGCAGGGAACAAAGGGACACGGGTTAAAACCGGCAGCTATTTTAAGAGCTGCACTGGTGCTAATGGGAAAAAAAAATAGAAAGGAAAGCAGAATGAGCAACACAAGAGCATTTCCCCCAGACACACTCTCTCAGCAGTGCCCTAGTGCAGTCAGGCAGTTGGGGGAAAAAAATTGGATAAAAGGAAAATAATGCAAATTGAACCTGGTGCATTGGTCCTCCATACACTGGGAGCAGTACTATGGATTCTCAGTTGCTGAGCAGGACTTTTTCCCAATAGGAGGCTGTTGGGATGGGACTTGGTGCGTAGAGCCCCAAAACAATGCTCTGGAGGTGAACACTGGGCTGGAGGGGATGGTATGCAGACATGCAGCACTCACTTGGGGTATATGGGACAGGACCCTGCGGTGCAGCAGGTGCCCTGTATCCCCTCCAGCCTCCAGCAGAGCATTCAGGAGGGGAGGTCAACCGTGTTCTCCTTTCTCCACCCCTCCCTTTCTAAGATGAAGAATTTAATTTTAGTTTTTACAACTCCTTGTAGGTGGATAAATCCCTTCCTGGCGAGTCCGAGCCCTGGAAAATCTTGTGAATCTAACGCTGGCCCTTCTGGCAGTTACCGGAGCAATTCCTGTTTCTCTCCAGCCGCACTCTGTAAAGTTTTATAGTTTCCTGGTTGGGGCTGCGAGGCCCCAGCCGTGCCGAGGAGGGTGGCGGGGGGAATGCAGGAAGCAGGGGGCCAGGTGGGGCAGCCCCGCTATGCTCAGCCGTGGGCACCATGTCCCCACGTCCCCTGCTCCAGTGGCAATGGGGCTGTGCCAACCCACCCACCATCCCAGCTGATGGAGATGCCACAAAGCCAGCAGCCTCCCAGTCACTGGGTTTTCCATTCTGGCTTTGCTGGCGTAGGTGCTGCTGATGGAATATGGCACCCACCTGTTGGGTTTGCGTTAGGGACAGTGGGGAGCTGCTTTGTGCAACACTGTGGTTAAAAAGCCCAGTGGATTTTAGGTGGTTGTTGGGTGAGCGGTGCGAAAAATGAATGAATGAATGAATAAATGACATTAGCTCCATTCATACCTATGGTCTGCCTCTGAGTGCTGAAGTCACCACGCTCAGCTCTGGGTAATGTGTCTGCAAAAGGAATGTGAGTATGACTTGGGGACACAGCTGCTGCCACACAGGGAACCACCTCCTTGCTGTCCCACAGCAGCACCATGGGATGTCCCCATCCTTCCAGCATCACATCACTGGGACACTGTGGGTCATCAGGACGTGGCTCACCCCTTGCACCCTACCCACAACCAGGCAGGGGTGAGGGTGTGTGTGGGGGCCATAAACTCTGCATTACCGCTAATTAAGCACTTGGCTGTCACCTAGGCTTCCCCACACGCCCGCTGCTCTGACACTTTTACTATTTGGGGAAATGGCGTCCCAGGCCTTTGATGAACTCGCTGCGAAGTTGAAAGGAGTTTGTGGCGCGGTGCCAGGGCCCTTAGCAATTGTCTGTGGGACGTGGATGGGAAATGGCCCATTTATTAAAAAAGCGATAAATCAGATCTGGGAAGTGGGAAAAGCTGACCCATGGCTGTAAGGCAGCATGGGCTGGTCCCACACCCACAGGCACCCCTTCCCAACAGGCGCAAGCTGCGATCCCCCAAGGCAGCCTGCGTGTGCCCACTCCATAGGAGCCAGCACCTCCATCCCAGCCCCTATAGCCCCCACACATGGCACAGGCAGCGCCGTGCCCCTGCTCCGTGCCATCTCCACTGTTCTGCAGCATCCTCTGAACGCTGTGCCTTAGTTCTTCCTGACGCTATTTGTGTGTGTTTGTGTGTGCATACATAGATATGTATTCATTTTTCCTCCCCGCATTGTGTTCCTCATCAATTATTCACATCTCATGAAATAGGAATGAAAACAGATTGCATGATGCTGGCCGCAGCCTTGTGGGAGGGAGATCAGCCCGAAGATTTCCCACCACAACCCTTGGGCTTGGAGTGAGATGTGTCACATTGAACACGGCACCCAGAGCTGCACTGCGGGACAGGATCCTGACCTGAGGCCTGAACCCCCCAGGAGGACAGGGCCAGGCCAGGACCTACTGGCTCTCAGCCTCTCCCTGCCATGTGCCCACCTTCCTAACACTCCACGTGCTGCGGTGCTGCACTGATTTGAGCACTGCCACAGCCCCACTGCTTTGTTCCCAACTCAGCCCACAGTAATCTTCCCTTTGCTCTTTTGACCATCCGCATACATTGAATAAGAGCACTTAATTGAGCTGTCTGCACTGACACGCTGGGCTTGTACTGAGTGCCTATAATTAATTTAGAACAATATCTGTGAATTATGTTGATTAGTCCGTCCAAGATGCATCATCTCACACGGGCCATGGTGAATGCCATATACCTCCGTGTGATCCATCCCCACAGCAGCAAGGTCTTCCAGCCTTCCCCATCCCAAACATGTCACAGTTTTGCTAACATGCTACCTTATCCACACCATTAATGAGCATAATGAACCACACTGATGCCAAACCCAGACACGAAGGGGAGGACCAAGGCAGTCTGCATGCAGATATCTGGGTGCACAGCCACATCTCCATGTCCTTAATGCCATTTTTTATGGGATCTTCCTACAGCCTAGGGAATGCTTGCTTGTTGGGTCTGCGCCAGCCCCACACTGAGTGCATCCCAGCAGCCTCTGCTCCATCCCTGGGATCCTGTTTGGGGCAGCCTCAGCAGCATGGGAGAGATGTTTAGGCTACAGCCGTGCTCTTCAGCCGTAGGAATTTAACCTCGCTGGTTCTGATTATGGCACAAGAAGTTCAGTTTCCAGCCCAGACCACCGTTTTCGCCTACTTAAGAGTGCTTGCACTCACCTCTGACCCCCCGGTGAGGTTTATGGCTGCATTGGCTGTCTCGTAAACCCCCAGGGCTGGGCCCAACACATAAAACCTACAGATGCCCTCAGCCTCTGTGTGCTCCCCAAGGTCCCCCAGGGCCACCCAGTGTCACCCTCTCCACTGCAGGGCCTCCCCTGGGGCACCTGGGGCAGTGCCACTTGGTGATGCAAAGCTGATGTGACCATGGGGATAAAGTGTCCCTAATCACTTGTGTGGGACCAGGGTGACATTTCTTAAGACAGATTTCATTCAGAAAAAGTTAGTTCAGTGTCATTCCCTGCTCCCCATTGCAGCCATGGAAAAGATCTCTACTGGTAATGCTGCAGTCCTCCTTTCAACCCCGTAGATACCGAAGGGGCAAGAGTCTTCCCAATTTAGATGTCCCCCACCCAGCCCTACACTGCTGGGGGCAAATGAGAGGAGCAGCCCCGTCATCTACCTGGCACTCTGTCCCTATTGCCTGGGGACAAGGACAGAATGTCCTTGCCAAGGGATGGCATGGTGCCCTACATCACCTGCTTCCTCCAGTACAGCTGAAACTCACTGTGCACAGCCAGAATCCAAGCCTCCCCTCCTTGCTTACTGCCCCCCATCAATGCTATGGGCATGGGATGCTCTGGGGACACGGGTGGCCCTGGGGACGCTGACGCTCGGACACTTCAAACAAAGCAGACTGCCTGCAAGCTGCTGGCGCCGTCCCCAGACGCACTCCTGGGTCCGAGGAGGGCTGTGAATGCTCTCCTCTCTATTTACATTACCAGGAATGCACAGAGAAAGGGGTGGGGGCTGTGGGAGGGGGGGTATCGGCTGATTGTTCCCAGGATCCCCCTGTCAGAAAGCCTCCCCGCTCCCTTAGTGTCTCTTGATATATGGCTTGCATTAGGGGATGAAAGTGAGGCATAGCTTGGGGTTTTGGCACGACAAACCCCATTAAACTCTCTCTGGGAAAACGAGTCCAAAAAGTGTTTTGGGGGGTTGAGTCACTAAGGGATCTGTGAGCAGTATTTATACACATGGGGCCCAAAACCCAGTTGGGGGAGGGCATGGGGACAGCACCCCTGGCCCTGCTGTGGCCCTTAATGTAGGGCACAGCCCCCCATCCTGCTTGGAGGCTGACCCCAAATGCCTTCCACCATGTGGGTATTTAGGACAGGGTGTTCCCAGCTGGTCAGAGCCCTGGGCCAGAGCATCCCGTGGCAGATGGCACAGAGGCACTGTGGGAGACATTCAAGACACCACTGTGTGGATGAGTCCTGGTCCCCCTGCTCTGCCATCCCTTATGACCAAGGCATTTGGGGCACACTGGTGCCCAGTGACACGGCACAGTGACATGGCACAGTCCTGGAAGGGAGGGGACCATCAGCCCTGGAAGATGTCCAGCACTCTTTTAATTAACCTGAACGAATCAGAGCTGAAGTTTCTGAGCCAAGCTGAAGTCTCCCTGTTAGGAGAAGCCCACAGTACCTGGCAGTAATTTAATAACTCCTATTCCGAGCTCTTTAATGGCAGTGCCATGGAATGGCTCCAAGCCCTCCGGTCTCCCTGCAATCAAGTTACCTTTACTGCTTCATGGCAATAGGAACAGAGGTTCAATGTGAATGCCTCACCCTGATCTTACGGTGGTGCTCCACGTCCCGTGCTGCACATCTCCCCTCTTTGCAGGAGGCTCTCCCCAAACGCAGAGCTCTGTGTGCTCACTGCCACACTAATACCTTCTTTGCTATTTTTAGTTCAGCAGCCCTGTGCTGTTGGTTGCAGTGTATTTTCTTTCTTTTTTTCTTTCTTTCTCTTTCTGTCTTTCTTTCTTTTTCCCCCAGTAAATTCCAAATCTTTTTCCTTTCTGCCTTCTATTCCGGGATTCTGCCTGCACCATTCCTCTTTGATCTGTGACGATGCCAAGAGTGTTTTGAAACTCTAAGTATAGCACATCCCTTGAATTTCTCTTATCTAGCAAAGCAGCAATATCCTCAAAGAGCTGCGATGTGCTGCCTGTGCACCTGACACTGCGCTGCGCCCAGCCTGGTCCGGGCACCTCCATACCCTACGCTCTGCTGCCAGCACTGAGATGCTGCTGTCCATCTCATTTTTCACACCGCACCAAGATCCCCACCTCTTTTTTTCCTTTTCCCCAAAGATGTTTGAGTGCAGCCTCTAAATCTGCAGCCCTGAAATGATGGCACGTAGAAATGATAGTATTTAGGACTCAAAAATAAGTGATTTTCCAACACGGGCAGGTAAGCAGAAGGCTGCGTTCCATCACTTGCAGCTCGCAAGGGCAAAGATCTGAAGGCTGCTCTTCCATTTGTCCCCAAAACGTCTAGCGCTCTGCACACAAATACCGTAACAAATTAATGTCAGATGCTTCCCTCGGTATAATTAGATGGGATTTAGAGTGGCAGAGCCAGCAAATTGCTACGATTTACATCAAGCCTCTACCCAGCATCCTGCACCGACCACTGGGTCGTCGCCACTAACAACTAATTAATTTCTTGGAGGCTGCCCTGGGCTCAGTCCATGGGGAGGACCTTGTTGCTCCTGGGTGGCAATGGGGCACTTGGCACTGCTTGGCCCTAAATTTTGTTCCCAAAGGTGCAGGGAGTGTTCTGGGGTTGGGGCTGTGCCAGCTCCTTGGGGTAACCATGGGGCCACAGGCTGTGTCGTGTTGGGTAGCACATACTGTGCTTCCCTTCCCAAACACACAGAGTGAATTAAAG